GGCCAAATGCAAGGTCCTGCACCTCGGTCGGTGGTTTGAGACCAGCTCTGAAGAGAGGGACTTGGGAGCAGTAGTGGATGAGAAGCTCAACATGAGCCGGCAATGTGCACTTGCAGTCCAGAAGGCCAACTGTGTCCTGGGCTGCATCAAGAGAAGTGTGGCCAGCAGGTGGAGGGAGGTGATTCTGCCCCTCTACTCCACTCTCGTAAGACCCCACCTGGAGTGCTGTGTCCAGTTCTGGAGCCCCCAACAAAAGAGAGACACGGAGTAGCTAGAACAAGTCCAGAGGAGGCCACGAGGATGATCCGAGGGCTGGAGCACCTCTCCTGTGAGGACAGGCTGAGAGAGTTGGGGCTTTTCAGCCTGGAGAAGAGAAGGCTCCGGGGAGATCTTATAGCGGCCTCCCAGTACCTGAAGGGGCCTACAGGAAAGCTGGGGAGAGACTTTATACAAGGGCAGTTAGTGACAGAACAAGGGGAAATGGGTTTAAGCTGAAAGAGGGGAGGTTTAGATTAGATATTAGGAAGAAATTTTTCACTGTGAGGGTGGTGAGACACTGGAACAGGTTGCCCAGGGAAGTTGTGGATGCTCCCTCCCTGGAAGTGTTGAAGGCCCGGGAGGGTGAGGCTTTGAGCAACCTGGTCTAGTGGAAGGTGTCCCTGCTGCTGGCAGGGGGGTTGGAACTAGATGATTTTTAAGGTCATCCCTTCCAACCCTAACCATTCAATGATTCTATAAATACAGATCACATATCTTTCTGAGCTTGATTAAGTAATTAACATGTTTTAGTGGTGACCAGCACTGCTTGGCTTATGCTATGCAATAAAAGCGAACAGAGATTCTTTGTCTTCAGTGACCATACAGCTGAAATCTACTTCTGAACAAAACTCCAGGAACAAAAATCTTACAAATGACAAAAAAGAAACAGTTTCTTTATTTGGCTTGTTGCATTGCAGCAAAAGGCATTGAAGCAATATGGCAGCAAGGAGTAAGAGTCATCTCTAATGCCAGTTTTCTTTTTAAGTGCAATTACTACTACTTTTAACAGATTGGTTCTCTAAACGAACAAGGTCATAAATTGCAGCAACAAAATTAGAGTAGTACATTAGTGGGAATGAGCAGCAGAAGGTGTCGTGTCAGTGCTATAGTACTGCCATGGACTATGCATTGTGCAACAAGTAACCTAAGATTCAGAATTAGGATTTGAATGTGTATTCGGTCTTCATTGTTAGATTGTAGCATTATTTTAAGAAGGAAAATTGTATGACTACAGTATATAGTAAGTTGACCTTACTGTGATGATGTTTTAAGCTTGTCACTTTTATCAGGCAGCATACTTTTACAATTTGATCTTTCCTGTGTGATTGAACACTTTGACCTCATAGTATTTTCCACTGAAACAGGAAGAAATCAGAATATTAAAAATAACCCATTGTTGCCATGTAAGGGTATGTTTTCTTACGTAGTAATTGAGTATTTTTAATAATGTACTTTTTATAAAAAGGCTTGTATAACTAATATTAAACTGTTGTAAGAGAGAAACAAGACGTGATTCCTCACAGTTATTACAATAAAATACTTGTGAGTTGCCCTGTAAAAAAAGGGAGAAGCTAATTGTCTATGTACAGTAAATTCAAATATCAACTGTGGTATTTTTCAGTTTCTGCTTTACAGAGAGTTAATTCAACCAATATTGATAAATTATGCCACTAAAATTATGGATAGTACTGTGATATTTGAAGTAGGATAGAGAGGGCTCATTAAAAACTGTCTACACGGAGAATGATAAGTGTTTTTAAAAGTATAGGTGGTGGTTTCCATTGCTTTCATTTTGGCCATTTAATGTAGCTAATTAATTGCATGCCTTTTCTTACTGCACATCCTGTTGTCTCTGTCGTTTTCATTGTTGTTTTTGCTCTTCTAGTTCCCCTGTTAAATTACAGTTAAGTTCTAATTTTTTTTTCTTTCATGCTTTTGTTATTGAACTGATCAAAATACCCATTGATATTAAAAAAGAGAAGAATGGGAATAGATGTGAGAGTCTTCGTACATTTGCATTTGAATACCACTTTGTATTTTAGTAATGATGTATTTTCTTTTCCTTTTAAAAGGCAAAATTATTTTGAACAAGTCTGCTTTTCCAAAGGCTGGGTCCTGCAGTCTGTATAACTACTGACTTCCTATATACTTTGACATCTGACGATATTCAGAGGGTGATGTCCTGTCCCAGTGAAGCTAATGATAGAAAACAGATTAAATTATTTGAGTTTGGGATTTGATTCTGTGATTTCAGAGAGCTGAAGTTTTGTTTCCAATTCATTTCTTACTGCAAGCTGTGCATATCTCTTTCTGATACAGTTGGAAGGAAAACATATGGAGGCCTTTCTTAAAATTCTGTTTAGGGTTGTTTTTTTTTTTAATTAATGATATTTTTGTTCAATCAGAATTATTTTTGTTTCAGTGCAGCTCACCAGTAAATCTACTAATTTAATTTCCTGGGCAGGTTGGAAGGTAAAATGGACTTCGAGGCTGTGATCCTGCAAGTATATATGCACGTAAAATGCTTTTCTGACCTCATTGGGGAGGTTTGTGTTCCCTGGGACTATGGAGTGAGGCTTTTTACTAGAATATATGCCCTAGACAGGAATAAAGCAGGCATTTCTATTGATCTGTAAGCAATCTGTCGAAACTTCTCTGATCAGGCTTTTTTACTATCTCATCTTGAGTACTTTTTTTAATGACATCTATTATCAGATTGAAATGGCGATTGAGACACTGCAAAAGTCTGATGGTCTGTCCACTCACAGAAGCTCTCTTCTCAACAGCCATGTAAGTTGTCTCTTCTTCACATACACTCTCTCTTGCTTGTTCTGCATGCTTAGCCTGCCTCTAAATGTTTGTTTTATTTTATTACTATTTTTTGCTCTTAATCTTCTCATCTTAGTTGCTTGTAATCTTCTACTACATCTCCCATGGCTCTATTTTGTCAGATGAAATGTCTTTTTGGTATATTGCAGAGTGTTACTTGTTTCCTATGCTCAACACCTGTGTTAAGACAAGTTAATACATTTGACTGTTTTGCAGCCTATAGTGTAAAAGTCAAGATAAAGTTCAAATAATTCTTAATTAGTTGACTTTTGATATTTTAAATAAAGTTGTCTACAAAGCAAAGCCTATGAACCCTATATTAATTTTAGGCATGTGAAGAGGAAGAGAAGAAAGAAATAGCATGCCTAAATAGTATCTGTAGATTATTTTTAGGCATCTCTTAATTTATTCTGAATAGAAATTTTATGCAGTGACTTACTTCAGAATCCAGAAGATCCTTATGATGAGCTGGAAAGTATTATCTTAATTTGAAGTACACAAAAATGTCTTATTCCTCTCCCTTTTGCTTTGTTCTTACTCTGCAAATCTTACAGTAAGAACTTTCCATATATGAAGCTAAAAGACATTTGAGTAAAAACATGGTCTCCAAAGACAGTGATAAATCCATTATATGTAACTTTAAAATAAAGGGGAAAAGCTCGAAGTTAATTTTAATATATAAATAATAATATTGCTTCGTAATTGCTTCGTAATTGCTAGTCTGCCTTGAAATGTGTTTTTTGGTTTGTTTGGTTTTTTTCTGTTGGTATTTGTGGTTTTGTATTTTGTATTTTTTGCCATGTGATTAGTTTGTATTCATCTTACCTCTCTTTTCCTTCTCAACTTTTCTAATTATATAAATTCAAATTCCTTTATTGTTTTACAGAAGAAATTTAGATTTGGTTTGTGATCTTAATATAAGACTATGGTGGTAGAGCCTGTCTTTCAGAAATCAAATTTAAAATGTATGTTTTAGCAGGCTTGGGTTTGGGTTTTGGATTTTTTCTGTATGGGTCTGGTTATGTCAAAGTCAAAACTAGAATTGTTTTGTGGAAATTTTAAGCAAACTTTTTGATTCTTTTTCTTTAAAAATTGCCAAAATTGAAAGATGAAGATTGTATTACAAAAAGTTATACAGAATTTTATACAGAAGGACTTTTCGGTTCCGCCTTGGATATTTACAAAATAATTGTTTTGAAGATAAGACAGTGTCAAAATTATTATTATTTAAATAATAGATAGTATTAGACAGATAATATAAAAAGTATTATTTAAATATAATTTTTAAAGAGACCATAACTTTTTCTGACAAAGCGTCAGAAATTTGTGTTAAGATTTGGAACAGCTGAACTGTTCATAAGATTGCATTTAATCCTATTACGAAGTTGAGGATCTTGGTATAAAACCAAGAAGGATTACAAGATAAGCAGCTGTGCCCCAGTAAACTATGTTCCACTCATTCGTGGTGCTATGCACTGTTCACAGTGTGTTCCTAATAATGAGATTCGCACCTAACTGTTAAATCTTACCATGATATTTCTTTCTTATCTGTGAAGGCTTTTTCAGAGTTATTATGGCAGGGATGTATCTTTCACTCTGTGGGGGGAAAAAAAACCATGATCCTTGTACATATTTTTGTGGCAATCAGTCTTTCATAGCCTTGGTCATTTTCGAAGAAGTTGACAATCTAGATCAAACTTACTGGATGTTTTTGCCTATTTTTAAACTGAAATAAGGACAGTATGGGGGAAACATAGGTTTAGTCTTTGTCTTTTTAAACTGTTCTTGATTTTGTCTTCTAATGGTTTGACATTTATTATAAAAATTGGGTTTAATAGGTTTTAAAATAGAATTCTAAATTGTGTGTTTAATTAATTTTCACTTTGCAGATGATGTATTAATTTGTGGGAAAATAACTAGGTTTTTTTCACTGTACAATATCTCTGAGGTTTTCAAAGATTTTTTTTTTTCTGAATTCTTGTGTGCTCATTTTAAGGTATTTGTAATTTCTCCTCTGTTTTCTTTTCTTTCCTGATTTATTTCTGCATGAGATTGACGTATTTATTTAACTGATAGTTGAATGTTTTATAAACATTGCAGCTTAATTGGAGTCATAGCCAATTTAACAAGTCTGACTCTGTAAATATTTCATACCTTTACCCATCTTATCCATACAGTATAGTCAGTGCTATGAATTAAAGAGCCAAAATTCAAACCTGAAAAGTTAAGTTTTAGTTATATCTCATCCTGGTAGAAAAATGGGGAAGTGTAGGTTGTTTACAATAGTTTTATAATGTTTGGAGATAATTTTCCTTTTAAAATCATATATTAACTGGACTTTTTCTTCCAGGCTAGAATCTAGCAAGTAATGACTTCAAGCCTTTGCTACTGAGTAACCACCCAGGAGCAAAAATTCTTATTTTGCACTTATCTTTTGATTTGGTTTTTTTGGCATTTAATAATGCAAGTTATGGTTGAAATAACATCTGTTAGAAATTCAGGTCATTAATGAAGTGCACTTAAAGTGATTTGCGATAGGTTAGAAGCCATCTGGAGGAAATTTTCTTTAATGCTACACACAGAACTTCATTGAAAAATAATTAATTTTTGTTTGTCAGTGTTTTGGGATTGACAAAGTTTTTCCCTTTGGGGAAAACAGAAATTTCATATCCGTTCTGATTAAATTATCGATTTAATAATATATGGCAAATGTTATATAAATGTATACAATATAAATGTAGCTTTAATAATAGATTTTAAACATAGATAAAATGTAACAGTTGAAAGATATAATTACCTTTGTTTTTAAGCCCAGACAGACTTATGTCATTAGTGAAATAAGTTTCATATATTCAGATAAAAGTTAATATTCACAATTATGCTTTTTCTTCAGTTTTATTTCAAAATGACAGATGCAAAATTTGGAAGCACTTGTGAATGTTAAGTTTTTTAAAATAAGGGCACAATAACAGATACAAAGATGATGAACTGGACTTTTTCATTTTGTCTATTTGAAATGCAAAACTACCTGCAAACTGAGCTAAAAAATTTATGTCTTGGAAGGATTTGCATCTTACTTCTGTATATTTTTCTAGACCTTATGTTTAAGAAATATGGAAAAGTTATGGGTATGTTTTCAATAAAAAGCAAATATGGAAGTGGTGTTTGAATAGTCTGGAGTAATTTTTTTGCATTTGTATTGGTGAATTTCTCACTGTGACTAAAATATAGCTATAATTTCAATGCATTTGTTATCATCTGTACTTTAGTACATAAAGGTTTTATGATAAAAAGAAGGCCATGACTGAAACATTTCATGGCTATTACACACTAAAGTGTTCATATGCTTTGCATGGTAAGTTACACTGAACATTGGTGGAACAGAATTTGCGTACTGCTCTAACAGAAAATAATTCTGCAGAGCAATAAATAACACACAGACCATGTATATGGTCACTTAGTAATTTGTGTTTTGGTTATACTAGTTACTGCTTTGCTGGACTAAGGTGAAAATTACTACACATTTGTGTGAATATCTAGCTCATCAGTGTTTGTAAAAGTCTTGTGGCAAGTCTTGAAGACACAATGTACTCAGTTTGCATTTTTACTGGATAATCAATTTAAATCCAGAGTTCTGATCCTAGCAAGCTTGAATACTCACCCTGTATTATTTTGGTATAAATACTTAGGAAAACAGAGAAAATTCAAACAGAAAATGTAATTTGTGAATCATTCAAGCTGTATCTTAAGGAAAATTTCAGGGAACTGAGACCGTGACAAGTAACGGAAAAAGATAAGAAAAATGGTAGTGTATTAAAAAGCTAAAAGATTGGAATTTAAATGCGTCCTCAACATATATTATTTTTGATCTATTTTTTTATTCTCCTATAATGTTAAATCTAGGAATATTAAGTCGTCTTGTTAACTTTTTTATATATTAGTGACAACTAGAATTGTTTCATGAGTGTACACTACTTGGAAAGTACAATGATGTTATATAAAAAGTCTTTTCTTGCACCTGTCTGAAGTTCCCTACAACAATTACATGAAAAGATGAGTATTTTCCAAGAATCACATTCTTTTACTCCTAGAACTCAAAGGTATACAGGCTACAATGGAAAAGGGATTGTACCTCGAATATTTTGTAGATGTACCCCTTATTTTAAATGTTATTTAGGTTGCTCTTTGACTTATATGCAATAGCTTTTTTATTTTATGTATCTAAGAGTAAAAAATAACCTATTCAGTTAAGTGTCATAATATTTTTTAACATCAGGCAAAGAAAAACAGTATAATATTCCAGGTGTATAAATAAATTAACTAACTACTGTTAGTCCAAGGAATTTGTTTTCTGCAATTTATGTGAATGATATTAATGGTTACTTTATTTTTTTGCAGTACTAACAGTTTGTCTCCAAAGCATAGATACCTTTAACAAGTATGGGTATGTGGTACTGAATCAAAAGTGTTTTAAGAAGTGGACACTTATCTGAGGTCACAAGTGCAATGAGTTCTGCTATTTCCTGGTAATTCTGAAGATCCTAAAGCTTTATGGTATAGTTAGTTAGCATTTAAGGAATCTCTGAAGAAGGAAGTAATTGTTTAATAGACCCGAAGAGTGGTTTCAAATCTGTCATAAGTTAATGTTGTATGGCTAAGATCTTTTTAATAAAAGAATAATGATTTTTTTCTCTATCTTGTGTGTGATATAGCTTCAGTGGCTTTTAGACAACTATGAAACTGCAGAAGGAGTGAGCCTTCCAAGAAGTACCCTTTACAACCATTACTTACGACATTGTCAAGAACACAAGTTGGATCCAGTCAATGCTGCCTCCTTTGGAAAACTCATACGGTCAATCTTCATGGGATTACGGACCAGAAGACTTGGAACTAGGTTTGTGTTAATGAAATCCTGAAATATAATCTAAAATATAAGTAATAACTGCGAGTAAGAATGGTAGGGGTTGGAAGGGACCCCAGGAGATTATCTAGTCCAACCCCCCTGCCAGAGCAGGAACCTAAATGCACCAGAAAGTGTCCAGGCGGGTTTTGAACATCTCCAGAGATGGAGACTCCACAACCTCCCTGGGCAGCCTGTCCCAGTGCTCTGGCACCCTCACAGTAAAGAAGTTTTTCGTTAATTTGTATGGAACTTCTGGAGTTCCAGTTTTTGCCCATTGCCCTTTGTCCTGTCACCAGGCACCACCAAAAAAAACCTGGCCTCATCCATTTGTGCCCCACACTTCCGGTATTTATAGACGTTGATAAGATGTCCTCTCAGTCTTCTCTTCTCCAGGCTGAAGACTCACAGCTCTCTCAGCCTCTCCTCGTAAGGCAGATGCTCAAGGCCCCTTATCATCTTTGTGGCCCTCTGCTGGACTCTCTCCAGAAGATCTCTGTCTCTCTTGAACTGAGGAGCCCAGAACTGGACACAATACTCCAGGTGTGGCCTCACCAGGGCAGAGGAGAGGGGGAGGAGAACCTCCCTCGACCTGCTGGCCACGTTCTTTTTAATGCACCCCAGGACACTGTTGTCCTTCCTGGCCCCAAGGGCACACTGCTGGCTCATGGCCAGCCTGCTGTCCACCAGCACACCCAGGTCCTTTTCCACAGAGCTCCTCTCCAGCAGGTCAGCCCCCAACCTGTACTGGTGCCTGCGGTTATTCCTCCCCAGGTGAAGGACTCTGCACTTGCTCTTGTTGAACCTCATCAGGTTCCTTTCCGCCCAGCTCTCCAGTGTGTCCAGGTCACTCTGAATGGCAGCACAGCCTTCTGGTGTGTCAGCCACTCCTCCCAGCTTTGTATCATCAGCAAACTTGCTGAGGGCGGACTCTATCCCTACATCCAGGTCGTTGATGAAGATATTAAACAAGACTGGAGCCAGCACCACCCCCTGGGGAACACCGCTAGTTACTTGTCTGCTAGTCAAAAAAGAAACGACACCTGTATTTAAATATTATAGTGGTTTTCTCTCAGTTGTGTCTCTTTTAGTTCAACAGTATTATGCTTTTCCAGATATTATTATACTTTTACTTCTCCTGTTTTTGACTGTTCATTGTCGATGTGTTTACATTTTGATAAATACACTGCATATTTTTATCAGTACAAATAAAATGTAGCTTGTTGTTTGGAAATTACTAAGAATCATATTTCTCCATATCTAGATATGTTGTATTTATTTTCATTTTATTTTTCTTATTCAAGTGCATCACAACTTAAAATGCTTGATAATATTTGTTTAAGAGAGTTAATTTCCCAGAGGTGGTAAAATGATAACCATGTAAAACAGGTATGAAAGGAGAGTTAGGCTGGATTTGTGGATATTATTTTCCAGTCAGTGTAAACTGTAGAGTAAATGTAATGCAGATGCATAAAACTAATATTCGTGTTCTTATAATTCTTGTTCTTTCATAAAGAGGGAACTCCAAATATCATTACTATGGGATTCGTGTCAAGCCAGACTCTCCTCTTAATCGACTACAAGAGGACATGCAATATATGGCTATGAGACAGCAGCCCATGCAGCAGAAACAGAGGTAAAGTGTGAAATGAACATGAGTATCTAATATTTCTAGTTCATAAAGCCTTAATTATCCTTACATGGAAAAGAAGTTCTAATGCAATTTTCTTTCAGCTTCTCTGCGGTGGAAAATAAGTTTGCTAGATATGCAGTTGACATCACTGAAGTTAGGTATCAGTCAACATGAAAGTACATTTACCTAGAAATTGTCACAAATTTGCAAGAAGTAATAATAATAAAGTGAGATACGATATAAAGAGTTGCTTCTTAACTATCTTGAGTTCTTATGCCACAAGCTGAAGAAAAGCAGTTAGAGCTTGAATTCAAATTTTGCTGTTTGTTTTCATTACTATATCATTTTACATTTAAGCTGCAAATAAGAGAGCTTATGATTAAGTTCAGTTTGGTGTTTATTTCCTCTCCCTGTGAAGAATTAATGTGACCATAATGGTTTGCCTGTAAGCTGATTTAAGTATTTTCCCTCAGCAACTGTTGTTCATGAGGACACTGTGAAGTCTCAGAAGTATTGGAAAGCAGTGGCACTGTGACCACAAAGGGCTATGCTGGTGGTAAAAGAATGTGTGAAAATGCATATAACATTATCTTGAACAGAAAATTTTATGAAAAAGATGGAAATCAGTTCATTTCTTTGAAATTAATTTTGATTTGATTTATGTCACTAGCCTCCCACACTGAAGAGAAGTGTTTAAGATGTGTGATTTCGTGAAACTCATAGGTAGAACAGCAGCATATCTATATAACTATTACCCCCCAAGAATCCAGTTGAATGAACAGTTTAGTGTAGTGTACTAAGCATATTTTGTGGCCTTGGACACAGATGAGATATGAAAAACACAACTTCAAGCTTCACTTTTAAATGCAAATATCACTTTAATCTGAAATGATTTTACTATCACTTCCAGGCGTACTTACAGCACTTAATACATATTTATGGTAAGATATATTGTCTTAACTATCTCGTGCTAGGCATAATATGGAAGCAGGAGATGTCTCCCAGTATGTTCATGCGGGAAATTCTTGTTACAAAAATCATTGCAGGATTATACGGTAAGAAAAGGTGATAGATTTTTACAAAATCTCCAGGCCAGCTTATTTTACCCACTGAAGCTCATTCACTTATGGATTTCATTCACCCACGCTCAAAATCACAGGTATGCACAAAGACATATGCCACAATGTTCTAGCTAGAATTGTGTTGTAGTAGAAAAGTTGGTTATACATTATCTTCATTTGAGGCTAGCAATAATAAGATGGAGGAGAACAGGAAAAGGAGAGCAGTGGAAGCTTCTATCAGCTATTTGCAATACTGACTGCAGAAGACACCCCCATGCTTTTATATCTTAATAATAACAATGGCTTTGTGATTAGATCCTTAAAAGCAACTGTGCGGATACACCTTCCTAGATGAAGCTTTATCTCTTTGCTTAAGAACTTGCTTTACTTACCTTCTTGTCTTTTAAGACAAAAGACAGGCTGATCTCTTTACACTCTTGAAATCTGGTGATGTCCCATTGGGCACCGTAGAAATAGAAGCATTGTTCACACAGTCCTCCTGATGTACTATTCATATAAAGTAGTTCTGAAGATCTTTGTTCATCCCTTAGTTCAGGGTACACAGATCTCAGTAAAATATTTTCTGTCTTTTCAAAATCCCAGTGTCCTAAATAAATAAAATGCAGAGATCAAGGAGCTAGCCAGACTTTTGACAATTGCACTGTGAAAAATACATATTGTCTCTGCTCTGCATACCATAAAACATACTAGCAATACTGATAAGGATATAATAATTTTCAAAATGTAGATTTTTATCCAACAAAATATAGTAAATTTTCATTGAAAAATGGAAACTAATGAGCCACTATTACTTTAACTTACTTATTCTTAGTTAACTAAACCAGAAAATGGCAATATTTTCTAATAGAAGCAGTCCTTTTTAAAGCGAAGTGTGATGATTCCAGAACATTTTTGTCTCATTGGAATGTGCTGATTATAATAATATTTTAAAAATAGATCAAATTATTCCACAGTCTAGCCTGTTTACTTCATTAAAGCTACTCTCTAGCATGCAGCAATCATGAATTTTGGTCCATTCTTCTCTCTTTGTAGCCTTAGTTTTTAATTTTAGGATCATACAATGTCCATCTTTATTCCACTTTCTTGAAATAAAAATGCCTGTGTGTTTTTCTTGATTAATTTTAATGCAAACTGAGATATGCTTGTGTTTTATAGCCCTTAGAAGCTGGGGTTTTGAGGGAAAAAAGAAATGCTAAATATAAAAATGGCTTGATTTAAAATTTTCAGTGCACAATTTAAGAAGTGAAATTGTATTTTTGAAGATTTTTCCCACATTTACAGAAAATGCTTAGTATTTAATTTCAATGTTTGATACATATTTATATGTGTTTTTATCATAGTTATATTGTACTGAAGAATTCCAGCAGGGTTTATTAAGAGATAATTAAAGGACTGAAGATTATAATTTGCATGATTAGGATAACATTGCTCTTTCTCCAGCTTTATTAATATTACTAATGTTTCTTTTGTCCTTTAAATCAGTGGTAAACTGCAGTCAGTATATTTTTTCTGTGCAGTTTACCAATTCTACCACCTTTGTCAGACACATTTAATTGGATAAACACTTCTAGTCCTTTTTGGCAAAGACTGTAGACTGAATGTATGCTACAGATGTTTTTTCTTTGTTCCTGTTCTTAATTTGAGGGTCATGCACCTTTTCTATTTGCATAATTTGAATATCCGAAAGTGCTCTTGTATGTTGACATTCAGAGTTTGTTCTAGGCTTGAATTCAAGGGTCTGAGATTTATCAGACATAATTTTCAGATGAAAGGTAATGCCATTAGTTGTTTAGTCTTGGTTGTGATCAGTGTGAGCTGTGGGAGTGCGCTTTCTTTGTTCCAGTAAGAAGAAAAATCAAAGTAACTACAGATCACAGATGCTAAGAGTCCCATCTTCCAGCTGAGACAGTGGTTTGGCGACAGCAAGCACATTGACATCAAATGGGATGAACCTTTCTCAGAAGAGGAAAAGAATTTCTCCCCAAGAGCTAGTGGGGCTGGTGGATAGAGCTTTATACTAAATTGGAAGGGGGAAAGGCACAGTAACATACTAGTCTGTGACAAGCAACGGGATGGCTTGTCTAAGCTTGAGGAGCTGCGTGCCAGTGGGATTCCTCAAACAGTTCCACAAGGTGATAGGCATGATGAGCCACACCTCAAGTGCTTCTACACAAATGAACCCAGCATGAAAAACAAGCAAGAGGAGCTAGAAGCCCTGGCCCAGTCCCAGAGATATGACATCGTTGACAACTGAAACCTGATGGGATTAGTCTTGTGACTGGTGTGCCATGATGGGTGGTTACAGGCTCTTCAGGAGGGATAAGCAGGGCAGGCAAGGCTGAGGGAGGGGGTTGCACTGTATGTACATAGCGGAGGGACTGGAGTGCGTGGAGCTTGCAGTTGGCGATGGCACACTTGAGAGCCTCTAGATAAAGGATAAGGGGACAGACAAATAAAGTGGATGTCTTTGTGAGAGTTTACTATAGGCCGCCCAGCCAGCAGGGTGACATTGATGAGCTGTTCTTTAAGGAACTAATGGATGCCTCTAAGTCATCTGCCCTAGTCCTTATGGGGGACTTCAACCTGTCAGATGTCAACTGGGAATACCACCCAGCTGGTACAAACAGGCCCAGGGGATTCCCAGACCAGCTGGACAACTTCTTGGTACAAGTTCTAAGGGAACTGACCAGGAAAGGTGCCTTCCTCAACTTGTTGCTCACCAACAGGGAGGGTCTTGTGGGTGAAGTGGCGATTGGTAGCTGCCTTGGCCACAGTGACCATGAAGCAGTCAAGTTCAAAATCTACTGTAACAGGAGGAAAACTACCAGCAAAACCTCAACTCTGGATATGAGAGTGGACTTTGGGTTGCTCAGGGAACTACTAGTAAAGTCCCTTGGGAAAAAAGCTTTTCAAGGTGCTGGGGTCCATCAGTGCTGGTCACTTTTTAACAGTCATTCTTAAGGGAATTGAGATGCGAGAGCTTCAGGTGATGTAAGAGCTTTTTCACTTTAGGGTGCATTTTTTTAAATAAAATTAATTATTAAACTGGTATGTTTTTAAAGGGCCACCTTGGCTGAGCAAGGATCTTCTTCTAGAACTAAGGCACAAGAAGACAGTGCATGGCCAGTGGAAGCAAGGTCAGGCAACATGGCAGGACTACAGAGATGCCGTTTGCCACTGCAGGGAGGAAATCTGTGTGGCCAAAGCTCAGTTAGAGTGAAAGCTGCCTAGTACTGTGAGAGGCAATAAAAAGGGCTTTTCAAAATATGTTAATAGTAAAAGGCAGACCAGGAATAACATTGGCCTGTTACTTGATGAGCACGGTCACCTCACAAGCAGGGACACAGACAAAGCAGGGACATTCAATGCCTTGTTCATCTTGGTCTTCAATACTGAGGATGGGCTTAGGAACCTCCAGAGCCCTGGGCTAGAGACCCATGACTGTGAGAATGATAAACTCCCGACCAGCCCCAAACTTGTGCGGGATTTGCTGCTCCAGCTGGATCCCTACAAGTCAGTGCGGCCTGATGGGATCCACCTGAGGGTACTTAAAGAGCTGGCAGATGTCATAATGAGACCTCTCTCAATGATTTTTCAATGGGAAACCAGAGAGGTCCCAGTTGACTGGAAGCTGGCAA